TTTACCTCCCAGCAACGTTATCCCCAGTGTGGTCTGAGTAGAATTCTTTTTATTTAAGAATTTCTATACTCCTCAACAGAAACTATCTTCGTCTAAGAATTTCTATACCAGAAGTTTCCATTCCCAGCAAAAATTTTTTTCTCTTTCCAATAGAGGATAAGGAACTTATTCCCGTGAAGTTGGTAGTTTGATCAGAATTCAAGGTTTTCACTGAACTACAATTTATTTTTGTAGTATTATCCCAGGAAGTTATTTCCCCAGTGATATTGATATTTAGGGGTTGACGGTTCCAAATCTCGGTTCCCCATTGAAGTACATATTGCCTTTTCTCTACAGAAGATCCGATGCGCCAGAACAATCATTCGGAAGTTCATTATCTTCTCAACAGTCGATTATTGATGTGTTTTCCAGTGCATTACTAAACATGCATCATTATATTGCATCATTACATTGCATCTACTAAAACGGGTAGCATTTCCATTGTATGAAGCATTACGCTAAAAAAAAATTCAAACATGCATGAGTATAAGCCAGTTATGTCCCCTTGCAGTAACCAGATTGTTATTCGCTCAGATTTGATTTACCTCCACAAGAAGTCTAGGGTAATTCTATTATGTTTCCCCAGCAAAGTTTGTTTGACTCACCACCAGCCAGGTCTTTGGTATTTCTCCATTCCCCCAGTAAGTTTCTGGCTCGCGCTTGCCTTTGCAAGCCTTCGGTTATTTTACCCGTGTTTGCTTTGCCGTTAGAGTATGAGTAAGAGTCGGTGTATAACCTTTCTTGCTTCTCAAGTGTTTGAGTATACATACTTGGTGTGTGGTAATTCTGACAATTGCCACTCTTGAAGAATTAACATCCCGCCTCTGGCCTGAGGATTTTTTTTTATTTTTTTTTACGTATTTATAACCTATCGAAAGCCCAGTGTGTTTTGGCAATCTTTGTTAGAGTCTACTTTGACCAATCTCTTTCTCTTGTAAAGTTCACCTTCTATCAGTGCTCTTTGAAGGTCCTGCATAGTCGGTTCCTTGTTTTGGTTTATCCGCGTCAGTCGGGTCCTCCTTTCGTTAGCCTAGCTAACTTTTTATGATTAAGAGTCTTTCAATGTCTCTTCAAAGTCCAGTTGTCTGGCGCCCTTGTTTAGGCGAATGCATCTTTTTTTTATTGGGGCTTTCTTCGGTTAGTCTCATTCCTGTGTTCGCTAGCGATTCTAAACATTTGTTTCTTGATGATCAATTTTGCTCTTGTGTATCTAACTCTGACCAGATATGCATACCTTTATCATTTGTTGAGAGTCCCCTTCGGCTGGTCTCTTTTCAGTTGTGAGTTCGCCTTTGACCGGCGTTCTTTTCTTAGGAATCTACCTTCGGCATAGTATTCCTAGATGAAGATTCCCCTTCGGCTGGTTTCTTTATCCTAAAGTCCACCTTCGGCTGGCACCCTTTAAAATCCACCTTCGGCTGGTACTATTTGTGGAGAGTCCCCTTCGGCTGGTCTCTTTGCATTTGTAAGTCCGCCTTCGACCGACGTTCTTTTCTTAGGAATCTAGCTTCGGCATAGTATTCCTAGATGAAGATTCCCCTTCAGCTGGTTTCTTTATCCTAAAGTCCACCTTCGGCTGGCATCCTTTAAAATCCACCTTCGGCTGGTACCATTTGTTGAGAGTCCACCTTCGACTGGCACCCTTTAAAGTCCACCTTCGGCTGGCACCCTTTAAATTCCACCTTCGGCTGGCATCCTTTAAAATCCCGCTTCGGCTGGTATCTTTCAAAGCCCCGCTTCAGATGGTATCTTTCAAAACCCCGCTTCGGCCGGTATCATTTGTTAAAATCCCGCTTCGGGTGGTATCTTTCAAAACCCCGCTTCGACCGGTATCATTTGTTAAAATCCCGCTCTGGCAGGTATCTTTCAAAACCCCGCTTCGGCTGGTATCATTTGTTAAAATCCATCATCGACTGGTATCATTTGTCAGGAGTCCCATTTGTTTGGTCTCTTCCCTCAGTAAGTTCACCTTCGATTGGTGTTTTCTTTGTAAGAGCTTTCTTCGGTTTGTCTCTGTCATACGCATCCGATACCGACCACGGATATGTATCTTTGATATCTCTTTCTTACGTATCCGATACCGACCATGGATATGTATTTTTGATACTTACTTCATATGTCTGCTACCAACCCCAGACATGTGTTCTTGTATCTTTGATGTCTTTGTCATGCGTATCCGATACCGACCACGGATATGTGTCTTTGATGTCTCCTTCTTACGTATCCGATACCGACCACGGATATGTATTCTTGATACCTGTTTTATATGTTTGCTACCAACCCCAAACATATGTTCTTGTATCTTTGATGTCTCTGTCATACGTATCCGATACTGACCATGAATATGTGTCTTTGATGTCTCTTTCTTACGTATCCGATACCGACCACGGATATGTATTTTGATACCTGTTTTATATGTTTGCTACCAACCCTAGACATATGTTCTTGTATCTTTGATGTCTCTGTCATACGTATCCGATACCGACCACAGATATGTATCTTTGATATCTCTTTTGTGTGTATCCGATACCGACCACGGATATGTATCTTTGATGTCTCTTTTGTGCGTATCCGATACCGACCACGGATATGTATCTTTGATGTCTCTTTTGTACGTATCTGATACCGACCACGGATATGTATCTTTGATGTCTTTGTCGTGCGTATCGGATACCGACCACGGATATGTATCTTTGATGTCTCTGTCATACGTATCCGATACCGACCACATATATGTGTCTCTGATACTTCTTTTCGTATGTCTGCTACAGACTCCAGGCATATATCTTTTGATATCTTTCTTACAGGTGTTTGTTACTAAATCCTAACAGAGTTCCTCGATAACCAAGTTATCCTTCGGTGTGTCAAACTCTGGTTAAACATACATCTAACCCTGATAATCCTTTTTACCAAAAAAATATATACAAAAGATACAGAAAAACCAAAGATATAATAATACTTGACTGGCTTCGGAGCGCAAATTTTCGGGTTCTTTTAGTATTTAATCTTCTTCCACCCAGAAAGTCGAAAGGCTGACCCCAATCTCACCTTCAGGATTGAAGGCGATTAAATAGGGGCAGCTGTTGCACCCCAAAATTTGCCCTCCTAATTTCACTTTTTTGGCTTAGACTTTTGCATTCATCTGCATCTATTTCATTAGGTCACTAACATGGCATACATTTCATTCAATATAGCTCTGAGGTTCAAAGTCCAGTGGTTGTGCGATATTAAGGTTTCACGACGGTTAAGGCGCTTATGTCCAAAAAGGTTGGTTTCTCATTCAAGCAGCAAGTAGTAGAATTAGGATTATGACCTGGGTCATTGAGAATTTCTTTCTTCGTCAAGCTATGAGGCTATCAGAGTTTATTTTCCTATTTGCGCTTTAATCAAGTTCTTCTCCAAGGAGTATGGTTTAAGGTTGCCACTTGTGACTATCTGGAATCTCCTTCCTTCAGAATTAAGGACATCCACCTATCACCATTTCTTGGGTTTTCTTACCAAAACTGGACTTTCATCTGAAACTTTCTTTTAAGTGACGAATATTTGGTTCTATCAAAAAATGTGAACTTGAGCATAAACATTTGTGTGAATCATCAGCTCCTATTTTATGGGATAAAGGTTTCGTTGAGAGTATTAATGCCATTGGGATCTTATTAAGATTATCTTTCAGAATCCAAAGGTACATCCATTGTTAAAGCTCCTAGAGTTTGATTATGCGTTGATACGGTGGAATAATCTATTCCCTATTTCACCAATTAAGGATTTGCATACCAGGATTCAAGGGTGTTTTTTCCTATCAACTTTGCCTTAAGATGCAAGATTCTAGGGGGTAAGCGATGCAAGTGTGAATTAGGGTTTCTAATCCTTGGTGTTCAGATCTGATTTGGTTTTCATTTGAGGCGTTCTCTTCATCGTAATCAAGTCGTGGCCATCTTGGTCATATTTCTCTCCGTATCCTCATGTTCATTTCCAAGTTGTTCTACGAAGTCATCTAAGAGCTACTAAATCAGGCATTCATTATTTCCCTATGCGTGGGTTTGTCGGATGAATTTGGAGGGGCTAATAGTCAAAGGTTCTTCGCCAATAACTTGCTAGGGTTTTCTTTCGACCTTTCTTTATAAGTCAAAAGGGGGAGCTTATTACTTAAGTCACAAGATATGCGATCAGAGATTTCATACAGAGGGAAGATGTGGATATACTGGTGCCCACTTTACCGTTGGATCTTTGTTTATCATTGATTCAAATAAATTCTTTCAACTAGCTATGATGTTTGAGGATCAAGATGTCACATTTCTTAGGCCATACAAGTTATATCTTTGGTTCTCACACAAGGCTTTGAGGTGAACGTGGTGTATTGGATCATAGTTGCATCCAAGATTTTGACAATGTATTACTTGAGTTCCTTTGGTTGACTGACAGTATCTGATCTCATGATGTGTTATATTAAAGGATGAAATTTGAAGCTAAATTTGAAAGGTTAAAAGAACCTTTTGGAGGGAAAGAATCTTCAAGCCATATTTCATCTCCAAAATATCAAGTATCACAAAACTCGTCCAAGAAATATTGAAGAATCCAAATAAAATACAACAATATGAAAGCAAGGTTCAAGATTGAAAATTGGAGAAAATATTAGATGCTTGAAGATTCATTCAAATTAAAGCAAATGAAGGAAAATTCAAATCTATGTTTGAGAAAGAGAACATTACATTTCCAAAGCACTAGTCTGTTATAATTTCACTTCCTTCAAGTCACATTGCAAGATCTATTACAAAAATTCAATACCAGATTATAACTCACTACACCGTCTTACATTACATCATTGATCAAAATACAAAAAAAAAATTACACAAAGCTACGCTAAATCTATATTTCACACAACTAATCCTTCACACACACTCTGCAAAAAAAAGAGACTGTGATCCAAAATTTTATTGGTACTGGAATTTCTCTGCATCACGAAAATGGAGTTGTTCTTCTACGCCGTGTTCGATGGATTAGCCGCTGTTGTTGCAGTTCTCGAGCTTAGCAAAAACAATAAGGATCGAATCAATACTTCCTCCGCTTTCAATTCCATCAAAAATAATTATCTTCTCATTTATTCTCTCATAGTACTTATGGATATGGAAAGGGGGATATTGGACAACTCGTTATTGTTGGCTTTGGGTCTTCAATGTTGTTTGGAATAATTGTGGGATCTTTGGCTGATAAACAGGGTCGGAAGAGGGCTTGTGTGACTTACTGCTTAACCTACATTGCGAGCTGCATCACCAAACATTCTCCTCAGTACAGAATTTTGATGTTGGGACGTATCTTGGGAGGCATTCCCACTTCACTTCTATTTTCAGCATCCGAATCATGGCTTGTTGCCGAGCATTTCAAGAGGGGCTTTGATCAGCAATGGCTGTCATTAACATTCTTGAAGGCCATATTTCTTGGAAATGGCCTTGTCGCCATTTTTTCTGGGCTGTTTGGAAATGTTCTTGTTGATACATTGGCTCTTGGACCAGTAGCCCCCTTTAATGCTGCTGCAGGTTTTCTCACAATTGGTATGATCATCATATTATCTACATGGACAGAAAATTACGGTGATGCTTCTGAAAACAAGAGCTTGCTTGCCCAATTTAAGGGTGCCGCTGTGGCCATTGCTTCTGATGAAAAATAGCCTTGCTTGGTGCTATACAGTCTCTCTTTTAAGGTTCAATGTATACCTTTGTGTTTCTATGGACTCATGCATTGAGTCCAAATGATGAAGAGATTCCCCATGGTTTTATTTTTGCAACATTCATGTTATCGTCAATGTTGGGAAGCTCACTTGCATCTAAGTTGATGGCTCGTTCATCATTCCGTGTAGAGAGCTACATGCAGATTGTTTTTGTAGTTTCTTCTGCTTCTCTAATGCTTCCCATTCTTACAACCTTTTTCGCACTTCCTACCAAAGCAACCAGTTCAGACCTGCATAGAAAGATTAAAAAGCAAAAATCAATACACAGTTAACAGTTCATAATTAACTTGTAACCATATCAAACTTCTAACCAATATTGTCTAACAGAATTCTAACATAAATTTCCTAACAAATTATTAACAAACTCTCTGACTGCCAAACAGAATTAACAACTAATTTTCCTAAAAGAGTAACAAACTCCTCTAACAGTTTCTACCTTCTAACCGCCTAACCAATTTCTAATTAACTCATTCAACTGTCCTAACTGAATTCTAGCATTTTTTAACTAACTTTCACAAACTTAAAAAACTTCCTCTAACCAACCTCCCAACAGTGATAACAGAATAACTAACTTTCTAACTGTTTTGGATCCACCCTGAATAATCAATACAACTGATATAAGAGAAAGAGGGATAGAGGATCAAAGAGGGGAAGGAATTTATTCATCAATTCACACACAGAGATGCATTGTTATTTTTATTCAGAGAAAGACTACAAAAAAAACTTACCAATTCATCCAAGCCTAGAATTTCAAGAAGAATTTCCATAAACATCTTCCTTCTTCCCTCCCCTTCATCTTCATCTTCTATCTTCACTCTACATTTTTAAGAATCCAGCCTTCATTCTTAAAGTTCAGCAAGCTTGCATCATCTTCATCAAATATTCAACATCCATCATCATCTTGCTCCATCACCTTCTCCAATATGTAGTGACTTTCAACATTCTTCATACATCAACGATTATCCTTCATCTCCGCATCATCGCAATAATCTACATCCAAAATAATTTCAACGCTCATCAAAGTTCAGATCCGCAGAAGACACAAAGAAGAATTACCGAAAAAGAAGTGAATCACAGAAATAATGTCGATTACATGATTTACCCCTGGTTTCCTCGTATGGCGTCAGAGAGCTGGCGGGTGCTTTCCATTCAATCAATAACAAAAATGTATATCCAAATCCATCATCAAAACTGCAACAACTCCAATGGTCTTCTTTGCAACAACTTCACAGCATTCAAGAATTTTCACCCTCCTCTGCTTCAACCGTTAACAACATATCCAATCTTCAACTTTCTCTACAATAGAAGAACAACACTGAGTTACTGACTTGATCATCATCATCATTCAGTTCGTTTTTTGGAGTGACATTCAATTGAAGAAAAACGGTTACAAATATTCAATTCAGATATGAAAATTCCCTCAAGTTCTCTCATCTCGCTGAACCTTATTCTTTTTCTTCATCTATTCACTTGGTAGAGAAGTAGCTGGATACAGTAGGAGGAATCTGAGAGCATCGCGTTCTCCATTGCTTCTTCATCTTCTTCTTCAAACAGTTGGATCTATTTTGGAAGATTCCTCAAAGGTTGAAGCATCTGAGCGGCCTTCATCGCCATCATCATCCATGTTCATTCGGAATCTCTCTGCACATCAGCATCTCTGTCGCTACATCAACTTCAAGTCTGCAAAACAAATCACAACAACCACAACAATTTCTTAGAATCAAAAATGCAATAACAAGTTTTGGAATCGCATAAAAAGAAGAAGAATCTGTAGAAGGAGATTTCGTAACAGAAAACGAGGAGAGCGTGACGACGGTTACCTAGAGACACTTCTGTTTCTATGCTTGATTTCAACGCCGTCAAAGACGCGTCTGGCATTTTCTGATAGTTTCCGTTTTTCTGGTGAATGAGGCAACTGCGGCTGAAATGGGACACTGATTAAGATCATGCGAAACAAAGTGAGTTGTGAGTTGAGACAAATGGTAACGAAGCTGAATCGGATCAATGAAATTGGGGATGCAACCGAAAGCTAAGACGGAGATTTGAGCAAATGAGATGGGGAAATCAAAGACATCGCATAAGTGTATTCACGTGTGGTGAACGAGTCCACAGTCGCCACCGCTGAGCTGCAAGAGAAGAAGACGATCGGAGCGAGATGGAGTCGGTGGCGTTGTGGTGCTAAAGCTAAAGGTTGATGCTAGTCACGAGGCAGACGGAGGTGAGAAGATTGAAAGGTTGGCCATACAGTTTGGGAAGAGCAGCAAGGTGAATCACGGTGGATTTTAACCCTAACAAAAACGACGCGTTTAGTAGCTCTCTTCTCCTTGTACTTGGTTTCCTTATTCATTGTTTTTATTTTGTTTTTTTTTATTTTTTTAAAATATTGATAATACTATTTTGAAGTGGCTATAACATGGGGTAAGCTGGGCCAACATCTCTGGGCCTGTTCGTTTCTTCTAATAACCACGGCTTGGATAAAAAAAAACTGCTAGCAGACCTTGCGGATTGGGCCTTGAATCAATGCTTTAGCCACTCCTTGATTCGGTTATACGCCCCTTTACTTAGAGTGTTCCCTATTGTTTTAGCCATTTTCATTTATATTAATTTTGATAGGTTTTTGTTGAAGAGGCATGAGTAAAAAGAATGGGAAATATTGGGGAATTCCGGGAGTTAGTTAGATTTCTTTTATGATTAATTATTATGATAATTGGTTGATTTTATATGAGATATCTTAAGGCCATAGAAGTGCTCGATCCATTATATATGTTGGTATGATTGCGGGATGATCTTGAATGAAGAGCTTCAAGAAGTTTTGGAGTTAACTAAGAGCGTAAGTATTCTATCGAGGAAATTCGAGGAGATTTTAGTAGATTTTTCTTATTAACTGCGTAGTTATGAAGAGGCAACAGACCTTCTCTGTTCGGTATCATCATGGCCTTATTTTATCCCTCATTTCGCACTTTATTGCATTTCTTTATCGCAAACCATGTGCATGTCAACATTAGGTAGAATTCCCCCAAAATTCTAAATTTAGGTCCACTAACGCATGATAAAATTAGTTTTAGAAATAGGCTAATCTTCATGTAACTTTCTTTCCCCTTTTGCATATGCATTTAAAACAAAAACTTCTTTTTCTCACAAACTTCAAAAATACTAAAAAATCTACTGACGAGAATCATATCTTCGTTAAGTATGTGAGACAATAAGCGGGTCTCTTCTCGACCTTATTGATCTCTTATTCTAAGCTTTGGTGTGGTTCAAGTCTCAAAGACTCATTTCATGAATAAGTAGAGAAATGGCTAAAATCTCTCCCTTGAGGTCAACTAGCTATTATCTACAAGCAAAAACACCAACAAACATAAAATTCTTTTTGCCTTCGGGCCTTTCTTTCAAACCCTTTTCAAAAGAGCATATTAATTCACTTCTGTGCTGACGCGTAAATCTCCAAAGGTCGAGTTGCGGCAGAAGGCGAAATTACTATCGTTCATTCAAAAACAAACAAATTCAAACTTTTGTGCGTCCAGGCACATTTCTTTTCCAAACTTTTCAAGAGAGCATGTTAATCCACTTTTGTGCTGACGCGTAAATCTCCAAAGGTCGAGTTGCGGCAGAAGGCGAAATTAATATTGTTCAGTAAAAAATACAAATAAATAAAAACATAAGCCGAACTACGACTGCTCTGATTCCTTAAAAGGGATACGTAGGCATTGGGGTAGGGCCCGAACGAGCACAACTTTTCATTTTCCCTACATTCTTTTTCCCCTTTCTTTCGCATGCATTATCCAGTAGTATAGTAGACAGTAAGCATAGATTAAACACACCCATAAGATAGACAACAAGAGTGGATACCGTAGAGTACTACGGGCGTGTGGGGTGTTAATACCTTCCCCTTGCGTAACAGACTCCCTTACCCTTATCTCTTGGTCGTTCGACCTCGATTTCACCTTTTTCAGGTTTCCTCGATGTTTACCTTTCCCTACCTTTGGGATAAAGGACGTTCGATGGCGACTTCATTGTTTGATGATTTTCAGCCGGTTGTTTCACCTAGGAACTAATCTACCTACTCGAAAAAGGTCAGTTCATTTTCCTTTTAGATAGCGCTATCCCATCATTAAGGAATAGGTAGCACCGTTGTTGGAGTTTTAAGGGATGTTCGAAGGGACATGTACGATCACAAAAGCAATGCTAGGAAATATTAGTAATCATCCTAAAGTCTTAAGGATATTTTTCTGAGGCAACATATGAATGGTTCATTTTAGATCTTTCGGGACTAGAGAATGACCACTAACAAACCCTATACTTCATGACCGTTTACCGAAGGAAACCGGAGTGGGGCAAACCCTAAGATTGAGCATGTGCGAGTGTATGTTTTCAGTTAATTTATCTTTGTACATTTAGGGTTTTATACTGTATTAATTTTCAGTTAGTCTTTCCATTCAATCCTATTAACATTCATCTAAGAAATTTATAGTTTACGGAAATAAAATATGGGAAATTTAAAAGTCCTGGCTATTACAAGGCTTTTGCAGATACATAATTATTCTGATTGAAAATAAAATGCGGAATAAAACCCCTAATTAAATCTATTACAAACTCGGAGCAGTTACAATAATGATAAAAAAGGAAATTACAAATGCGAGCGGCGAATTAAATGCGAGAAATAATTAAGAATCTATAAAAATCTAATTGAAAAAGTAATTTGGTTATTTTGAGAAAAATTAAGTTATGTACAAAATTAAACCCTAATTCTAATTATTTTAGATTTATGAAAAAAATAATTGAATTGCCCTAAATTAAATTAAACTAATTAATTAAAGAAGTAAAATATTTTATGAAAAAAAATGATTTTTTGATGTTTTTAGGATTTTTTATTTGATAAAAAAAAACATGATTTTTTGGTGTTATTTGTAAAAATAAAATAATTAATAAAACAATTAGAAAAAATAAAATAAAAGAAAGAAAATAAATTGAGCCTGTATGGAAACTGAATGGGGGTGCAATGTTGAATTTATGCCCAGGCCCATGAATGTTGAGCCCATTCCCACGTTTGATCTTGTGTAGCCACGCTTGGAGGGTGCATCATGGACTTCCCTTTGACTGAGCGTTGGATCTGGATTAGTGATTAACCAGTTGCTGGATGGTTGGAGTATGGTGGATGTCTGGCTGTGTAAAGTACAGGATTTGCAATTGAATGTTAGGAAAATAAAGAAAATGCTGGGACCTGGGATCGAACCCAGGTCCTTTCACTTTCAAACATACGCCCTTGCAAACTACGCTGCATGGATTAATTGATAATATAATAGCCATAATAAGTAATATATAAAACAAAATGGGTAACTGAATAAAACAAAAAAAGCGTGCACGATTCAAATAAGCTAGTGGTGTTGCGCCAACTCATCATCTTCCTCCCTGTCCATCGTCTTAGGTATGAGACTTATACCTACGGACTGAACTCCATAGCCTTAGCCCTACAAGCTTCCAAAATTCACAACAAGCATGATAAATCAATTGTGAGTACATAGATCAATTCGTCTTGATCTCACGAGCATCATGGTAACCTTTTCTTGGGCCAATTTAACCTGTATAGAAAAACCCTAAAACGGCAAGGTAAACCCTAACAATTGCAGTTGGCGAAGGAGTTATCAAAATGCAAAATTACTTAAACCAAAACATTCCAAATGATGATACCAATGTAATGTTATGCTTAAAAGTGATTAATCATGCGTAAATAAGAAAAGTAAAATTCAAAAGAATTGCCAAATCGTGAGAGGCGTGGAGGCTGATTCAGGGCGTCTCAGGACGTGCAAGCCGTCGTATTAGCTTCAGGAGATGTCCAGGAAGGGATTTGTGGCTTTGAATTTCTTTGAATCGTCCTCTAGGTTAGAAATCTGATCCACACTTTTTGTCAAATTTTTCAGTATTGCTTGATGCTTTCCACGACTGCAACCCTTCTTTTTGCGCATTGTTCTTGTTCAGTATATATAGTGTGATGAATTAGGGCAACAAAAATGGTTTGAATCTTCGTAAATCATGGAAATTGGATTTGTTTTTTCTCTTGTATTATATCTTTCCAAAACAAGCATAATCATTCCAATTTTGCTTCAATCATCCCTTGCACGATTTGATATGATATGCCAGCCTAATTGGATTTGATTCCTACAAAAACCAGATCAAAAATCAATCTTTTATATTTTTTGCAATTTATTTGATTTAATCTAACTTTTAATAAATAAAAATAAAAATAAAATAAATAAATAAGCAAATAATATATGGAGGCTGATTTGGGTCGTGGACCATGTCCAAAACAAGATACAATCATGAAAAGCTAGGCCCATTTGACAAAAAATGCACTTTTGAGCACATTTGACTTTTGACAATTTTCCAAAAATGGCCAACTTTGACAATGCATATCTCCTCCAATTTTAACCCTAGAAGGGTGTTCTTGGACTTTTTAGAAAGCTTAGGATGTCCCCTAAACAACCCTTTTGGTTTCATCTCAATTGGTTCTTCCATGTTCATGTAAGAAGCTTTGACCCAAAAAGTGTTTTTGTTGACTTTTCAAAAGGACCTATAATGTAGAAATTCATATCTTTTGATGAGTGCATATTTTGAATTTGTGGGCTGAAGATGAGTTATAGGAAATTTCATCCTGTTAAAAATGATCCTTGGATGGAAAATTTTTGATAAAGTATGAAGAAGTTATTCCTGGTCAAAGTTTGGTTTACTTTTCCTATGAAACCCTAATTTATCAACTTTTGGATTTTGATGAATTTGGGGGCATTCCTTGAGGAATCATGATCAACCCTTGATCAAATTATGGATATCTCTTCAAAATGTTGATGTTGACCAAAAATATTGAAGTTTGACTGTATGTGGGCCACAATTGACTTTTGACCTAGTACAATCGATTTTCAGGCATATAAGCAATTGACTGAGCAAATTTCTTGT